GGTGTCATAGCTATTTTTACTTTTTGTTTTTCATTTCTTTTTTTTTTTAAACAGGTTGAGCATCCCAAATCCAAAATCTGATGTACCCCAAAACCCAAAGCTTTTGAGGGCCAATATGATATGCAAAAGCTCACTGGAGCATTTCAGATTTTGGATCTTCAGATTTGTGACACTTAACCACTAAGTGTAATACAAATATTTCAAAATCTGAGAAATCTGAAACACTTCTCGTCCCAGACATTTTGGATAAGGGATACACAACCTGTATTTTTTATTTTACTGTAAATTGACAATTTATAATGTATGTATTTATGTGGTACAAAGTGATGTTATGACGCATGAATACAATGTAGAATAATTAAATCAAGCTAATTATTATGTCTGTCACCTCAAATACTTTGTGCTAAGAACATTTGAAATATACTCTTAAAGCAATTTTGAAATGTAAAACTCAATACTTTTAACTGTACTCATAACAGTGTATGATAGATCTCAAAGAATTATCCCTTCTGTCTGAGTGTTTTCAAGAGATGGGATCCCACTCTGTTGCCCAGGCTGGGGTGCAATTGCTATTCACAGATGCCATTATAGTGCCTACAGCTTTGAACTCCGGGGCTCAAGCTGTCCTCCAGTCTCAGCCTCCCAACTATTTGGGAGGCACCTGGACTGACTGAGATTTTGTACTCATTGACCATGATCATCCTATTCTCCCCACCCCCCAGCCTCTGTAACCACCATTCTACTCTTTACCACTATGAGTTTGATTATTTTAGATTCCACATGTAGATGAGAATTTGTCTTACTGTGCCCAGTTTATTTGTCTTGACATGATGTTCTCCAGTTCCATTCAGGTTGTCTCAAATGATAGAATTTCCTTCTTTTTTAAGGCCAAATAGTATTCCATTGTGTATATATACCACATTTTCTTTATCCATTCATCTGTTGCTGGATGCTTAAGCTGATCCCATAACTTGGCTGTTGTGAACAGTGCTGCAACGAACATGGGAGAGCAGATGTGTTTCTTCAACAAACTGATTTCAGATCTTCATACAGTTTTCCATAATGGCTGTACTAATTTACATTTCCATAAATGGTATATTAAGAGTTCCCTTTTTCCCACGTCCTCTCCAACACTTAACTTTTGTTTGTTTTTTGATAACTTTTGTGTTTTTGACATTCTAACAAGTGTGAGATGTTATCTCATTGTGGTTGTAATTTGCATTTCCCTAACGATTAGCAATGTTGAATGTTTTTTTCTATGTACCTTGGCCATTTGTATGTCTTCTTTTGAGAAATATCTATTCAGGTCCATTGCCCTTTTTTTTTTTTTTTTTTTTTTGCCCATTTTTTAAATTGGGTTTTTTGCTTTTTTCCTATTGAGTTGTTTGAGTTCCTGATGTATTTTGTGGTTTTTTGTTTCTGTTTTGGTTTTTGAGAGACAGGTTCTCACTCTGTCACCCAGGCTGGAGTGCAGTCGTGCAGTCATAGCTCGCTACAGCCTTGAACTTCCGGGCCCATGCAAAGTGAAGCGCACACCACAACACCAGGCTATTTTGTTGTTGTTGTTGTTACTTTTTGTAGACAAGGGTCCTTGCTATGTTGCCCAGGCTGGTCTAGAACTCCTGGCCTCAGGCGATCTTCCTGCCTTAGCCTCTCAAAGTGCTGGGATCATGGGTATGAGCCACTGTACCCAGCTCCTTATGTGTTTTGAATATTAACCCCTTACAGGTTGTATGGCTTGCAGATATTTTCTCCTAGTTCACTCTTCATGCTGTTAATTGTTTCCTTTGCTGTGTGGAAGCTTTTTAGTTGGATATAATTCCATTGTGTTTATTTTTGCTTTTGTTGCCTGCACTTTTGGGGGTCAAATCTAAAAAATCATTGCCTGGACCAATGTCATATAGTTTTTCCCCAATGTTTTCTTCTAGTATTAGGTAAGTGTGGAATGTCTGATTTCCTTAAGTATTAAGTTTGACAGTTGATGTCTCTGACATTTCACTTTGATACTTCTGGTTTTTGTGTGTGTGAAGGTACATGCGCAGTCTTTCAAATGCATCTTTTGGCTTGTGATTATCTTTTCAAATTTTTTTTTAGAGTAATTTTTGTGAAACCATGGATAAGTCAAAATTTCGTGTTATTTTTGAATATGAGTTCCATCGAGGAGTCAGTGCAGCGCAGACAGCTCGAAATATCAATGAAGTGTTTGACAAGGATGTGGCTAATGAACACACAGTACATTGATGGATTGAGAAGTTCCATTTTGGTGATCTTGAAAATGAGCCACGTGGGTGACCTGAAACCAAGGTGGATAATGATAAACCGAAAGCTGTAGTGGAAGCAAATCCATCTCACCCTACTCATGAGTCGCAAGTGTTTGTCACAATGGTTGGATAAAGATGAACTGCCAAAAGATAGTCCAAAACTGAATATTCATCAAAAAAAGCTAACGGTGTCTGTGGGCCAGTGCTGGTATTACCCACTACAGCTTCATGAAACCTGGTGAATCAATCACAGTGGATATCTACTGCAACCCCTTGGACGAAATGATGAGGATGCTTGCGATTAAGTAGCAGAGATTGGTCAATAGAGACAGGCCAATTTTCTTGCAAGACCCAGTTTACTGCCTGAAAATAGTTGCTTGGATGTAGGGAGCGGGAACCCAGGCATAACCCAAACGTCTCCCTGCATTAAAGAGATGGGACTGGGTTACTGGGAGGCCAAGGTAGCCAGACATCTCAGGGTGGAGTACCAAATAGGAGAGACGCGTAGAGAGAGTACTTGAGATCTTCAGTTTTCAAGTTTTCAGCTGAGCACATGAATCTAAAGAACAAAATAAAATCAAGAACTTGGAATAAGCAAAAGAAAGTACAGCCTGTCTTTTCAAGTCTTATTGGAGCATTATTTAACAGGCCCATCCAAGAAGTGCTGACTTCTTTAGGAGAATGTTCCTGTGTTTGACTTTACTATTAAGCATCTGTAGATCCCAAATCTGTGAAGTGACATGCTAACTTGTAGATTTCTGTCTAGTA